CTTTAACTACAAAGAACTTCTATCCAGGGTGTTTTGTGTACTACCAATGAACATCATTTATTTAATACATCTTAAGAAATTTTTGTATATTATTGTTTTTTGGTTATTAACCAAAACCGAACCGAATAAGGTTCGGTTTAATCAGTTTTCTGTTTAATTGGATTAAATTTCTGTTAAATCCAAATAGCAAACATCTATATTTTACTTCACTCAAATCTTTTCCTATAAATATCGACACTTAAGTCTATAATAAACATAACTCAAAGTAAGAGGAGTAAATATAAATTAAAGACGTGTAAAAATAAGAAAACATATGTTGATCTGTTGAATGCTTGAACCCGCTCCCTAATATAACAATAATTGCTTGCAAAACTGAAAAAATGTTTTCAATCTCAAAATATTGAAAAAATAATAGCTTCAATACACCATCAACATCAAAATTTACATGCTCTTTGCAAAATAAATACTAAAAATAAAAACATATTATGAATTTATAATTATTACAAGATACTTTACTATTGAACACAAAATTAATTCTAACAACAAAAATAAAATATAGATACATTTGTTGACTATGATATATGATTTTATTAATTAATTAATGTTGGATTTTCATTTTTACATGCCGAATAAAATTTGTGTGTAGCTAAGAAGTGATAAAGTTCATAGTTACCTACAATAAGCTAAACCTTTTGTAGCTTCCTCAAATGAAGAAGTATTGCTTTTTAATTTCCATTTCTTATTATGGTGGACAATAGTGTAAAAATATAGCGCCAATAACAGAAGAAGAAATTAACAAAGCGTGTACATATGAATTAGTTATATAGCTGTCATGAAAGTGGTGTTTTGTGAATTTAAGATGCTTATTCTTTTTACGGTTCCCATAAGTAGTTAGAGTCTGCTTCAGATTTTTAATATATATATATATATATATATATATATATATATATATATATATATATATATATATATATATATATATTGAAAAACAGTTTTAGCTCAACCTCTTTTATCGTACAAATTTTCAAATGCAAATTTGTTATATTCCATATCTAATTCTGTCATAAAATTTGTTATTGCAGAGGGAAGTAATATGGAGACTACTAACCCTTAGAAATACTTAAGATGGCAACTTTGGTGAATGATATTTTAAGGTATATTTATATGACTACGATAAGCAACTCAAAGAAACTACATTGCTCTTTCATGCATTTAACTAACCCTAATCTCCACAATATTTTAGGACATAGAGGTTACACTTACCTACGAGAACCACTTTGATGGGCAGGCATGATTACAAGTAAGTTATTGCAAACCAAAAGAAGTTGATCTACTTAAAAATATGAAATGTATTTCATTGAATTTGGCTTTTGATTAACTTATAGTGATTGTAGTTCAAATTTCAAAACATGTAGTTATTCGGCATCTTACTTTCATTGTCTCTACTATAATAGCATCTTACTTTCATTGTTTCTATTATAATACTATAGTTTTATTCTTTTTCGTATTGAGGCATCATTTCATTCTTTTCTCATCTTATTATGCAATTTAGAGGAATTCAATGATGATGCTGATATTGAAGATGAATATGTAGTAGAAGATGCGGAACCCAAAGTAAATTGCTGATTTACTAGGTGTTTTAAATAAATTCCATACAAGTTATTAACAAATCATTCGTATTGTAGATTTCACACTAAGGTTAACTTTGGTTAAAAAAAATTTGTGGGGAAGGGTATGCTAGACTACAGCCCCCACATACCCTTGCTTTGGATATTTTGAAAAATCTACCAATTTATATGAGTGTAAATTTTATAAGGTAGATTTTTTAAAGTAGAATGGTGTAATATGCACAAATAAATGAACCAATTGTTTTTTGCAAACAAATGCGGGTGTTAGTGGCTGGTGGGACATTCATATGGAAAACAAGAGGTAAATTTGTAATGTCATAACAATGACAAGGAGCTGTACGTCCCAAGATTCCTATGAAGTAGGGTGTGTTGATGTTTCTACATCTGACCAGAAAAAGAATAGAGACTCTTGGGTGTCAACTGACATTACTAATATCATTATTAGCCTAATACCATAAAGCCACCCACCATCTGCCATCACGACCACCACCACCGCCAAAATTACATAAATGGTCCATATGGTTTACCCGTGGTCACAAATTCAGTCCCTACTACCTGAAAAGACCAAATTACCCTCACATTAACGGACAAAAAGCAACGGTCTATATTTTCCGGATTGGTTTTCCGGCCGCTGCCATACATGGCAATAAAGTTCAATTTGTGATACCATTTCTTTATTTTCCTCATTTATTGTAAGAAATAATTATTTAGATTTCTTTACTTATGTAATTAGATGACATTGTTTATCTTCCTTTACTAGATTATCTCAATTCAATTCAACATGCTACTTTGTGCTTCTGATAAAGCTGCTCACTTAAACAAAGGCATACACAAAATCTACTCTTGCGACGCAACCACTGTTTCCAGTTAAACCGGAGATTGAAAAATGGCATGGATCGGACAATTATCCAAGAATCTGAAAGACCTCCGAGTTCTCTTTTGTCAACCTTCACCTGCCAGTTCTTCCGCAAGGTATCATCAAAATAACATCGCTTCCTCGATCTAAGATTTCATGGAATTTCTACTGCATCGTTTTGCTCTTTCGTACATCGACATCCATTTTACTGAAGTTAATTTTTCTAATTGTGACAGGGCCTTTGTTGATGATTTCCCCACAATGAACGATTGATTTCTCCATCACCCAATTTGAAGGGGTTGTTGGTGATTGTCGATGCATGAAGGTAAATGTTTACTCCACTTTTTTCATTTTATTATAAAATTTGAATTTTTATTCCGTTTTATTCAATGTTAGCATATTTTTTAAACAATTTAGTTAGGTTTCAAGTTTAAAAACATATAACAGTGAAGCACAACTGCAGAAGCTTCATCTTTTTCTTACTTTTCATACTTTTCAGGTAACATATTGCTTCTTTCTTAATCTTAAAATCATTTTCTGTTGAGTCTTGCATTTCTGGACATTTATAAGTTATAACTAATAATATAGGGACCGTCTACCATTTCTGCAGGTATTCGATAATATATGGGCGAAGATTGTCATTAACATAAACAAAAAAAAAGTTGATTTTGAGCAGGTCACAAAAAATGCTATTACCCTAACCTGATATTACGCTTCCCCCATATAATTGTAAGGGGTATAAGACTTATTTTCAACTTATATGATTGGTACTAGGAATTTATTAAAATGTTATATCATCGTTAAAACATTTTCACACATCTGTTGCCAATGGTAACAGATAACATAAGTATTCATGGTATTTTGACTTCATTGAAGGCTTTCAGGTCTGTAGTTAAGGGAAATGGTCCATTTGACAGGAAAATATAGGACCAAAATCTTTTATTTTTTTTGTTAATCTGTTCCTCTTTGAAATTGACCCCCCACCTCCCTCAGACAGTCTTTTGAAAGCAAGAAGCAAGAAAGTTTTTATAGATGTATGCTATTTTTTCCCAAGTATTTGTGTCAGTTTTTCTGAAAATTTAACAAGTTTGTTATCTTATCCTTAAAAGGTTTGTTTTTACCAGCCAATTTGTGCTCTAGCGTGTTGGATGAGAAATCTATTGTCTAATATTCTGGTGTCAACAACTGCTCCTGTGGCAATCATGTTAGATTTTGAAGCAGTTGCAAGGGAAGGGAGGGTTTGCCATAATGATTTAGCTGGTTGTTCGAGTATGGGCAACTGCGAAAAAGTTAAGAATTGTAAGGCTGGTGTACCTCTTCTTCATCTGACCAAGGGTCGCAACAGAGCATCTATATTCTTACTGCATTTCTATGATTATTTTAGGAATATATGATCTCATACATGTTGTGTTTTATGTTGTTGATGCAATTTTATGCTGGTACAGTTGGCATGCAATCACCACAACTATAATTCGACCGGTATAAAGAAGATTTAATTAATTCTTGAGGTTATATTCTATTTTTCTTCATGATTATTATCATTTTCCTTTCCAAATATTATGATTTCCTAATATTTTCATTTTAAACTAAATACTTTTTTTTTGGTTGCCAAATTATGACATAAATCCCATTTTAAACATGTTTTTTTTTTTAATTTTTTGGCAGACTCCCGGTCCACTATTTTAGAAACTGACATACACTACAAGTCTTAAGATGTACCTGTAAGTATCATTTTCTTTATTTTTGGAAGAAAAATATAAATAAATGATTTTTTGTCTTCATTAGAGTATCATAATCAGTTTTTTTTTTTTTTTTTTTTTTGTAATATTTCATATGAGCTAAAGTTGGGCTCAAATATCTCGATAGTGTACTATGAATTTAAACGTTTCTTTCCCTGCTATTCATATTATTTCTTTTGATTTTTGTTTTCCAAAAACCCAACTACATTGCCATTAGGTGTATTTTCCATTTTAGGGGTAAAATGCACTAAATAGCAATGCAGTTTGCATTTATACCTATTTTTTCCTTTTTTTTTTTGCAATTTCTTCTAATTTCATTACCAAAAAACCAAAATACATTATGAAAGATTGTAACAGTATTCGTTCCCTTATTTTGTCAAAAGCGGTCCCTCAAGTTATATTAACTTTGTGTCCCTCTATTTTGCTTAATTTCCCACTTTAGTCACTTTTCTTATTTTCTTCTTGCACCGACTCTCTTCTTTATGTTCTTCGTAATCGGTGAAAAGTGGTCAATTTATTGTTTTTTTAATGTGTTCCCAGCTACGTGTCAATTTCTACCGATTTGCATGTGTCTTCTTCCTGTTAATTTGGTTTTCAATTGCTGAACTTCCTTTTGTTTTCCCCTGTGTTTCTCTTTCTTGGTGGTCATCTGCTTTCGTTTCTCGACCTCACTCTTCGTTTCTGTAAGGTAAAATTTGTCTTTTGTTCTTCTTATCTTTCCTCTATTGTAGTTTTTTTGCTTGCTTTATTTCCGTTGTGTCGTCGTGTATCTATGTCATGTCGGTTCTGTCGAAGCGGACCCGTAATGACGGTGCTTCGTCGTCTGCTGCTGTTCCTATTGGTGGTCGACGGAAGTGGCGGCGTCTTGATGGACTCCCTGTGCTTCCCCAGTACGTTGATTGTGGTGATTGTAGTTGGATATGTGAGTATTGTGGTGCGTTTTTCTGCTGTGTGGAGAGGGCTCTTAATATTTCTACAGCTGCTCACGCAAGGTACACTCATTGCTGTAGAGCTGGCAGTGCGGTTCTTTCTGCAAAACCAGTTGGAGACAATGAAGGAATCATTGGCCATGGTCCAAAACACATACACCAGCATCAACGAAGCAAGGCAGAAGTGTTGGGTTTTGAGCATTCTAACACTCCTATGGTGTACATGCAACCCTATAAACCTTGGATCTATGTTTTCTCTATTATACATGCAAATATTAACTATTCCAAGGTTTCATCCTAACTAGCATATTATGAAGCACCTATACTACAAAGTTCTAGTTAGATGACATACCTTTTGATGTAGCTTGATGTCTTCAAGCTTTAAGAGCTTAGCCCCAATAGTGTGGAAGCCTCAAATGGAATCACAAATCACCAAAACACCTTGGAAGAACTTGAGAGAATATGTATGCACACTAAAATCGGCCCATATATACTTTTTTTCACACACTTGTGCCAATTTTGTGAGCCAAGGACCCCTTTATATATTATGGAGGATTAGGGTTACATCCATGTAAACCCTAATACCCATGACCTTTCATTTACATAGGATCCATGGGTTAAAAGCTCCATGGACCATCCATGAAAGCTTAGCCCAACCTAAATGAACTTGGCCCATTCCATATATATAAGAGTCCATATTTAATTAGTTCTTTTTTATCACTTAATTAATTCTAAATTAATTCTTGATCAATACTAATTAAATAATATGATTCCATATTAATATATTAGAACTTATAATATATTAATATAAATCATAAATATACTATTCTCAAAAGACTATCCATATAAATTGTGTCGGTGAAGTGCAACCCAAATGGACCATGCCGGGTCGGGTCAAGTACATACCAAATATAGTTATGGACTTAGACATTAATCCAACAGTCTCCCACTTGGATAAGTCTAAAACTATTATTGAGTATGACTTCAAAACCTAACTGGCAATCGTAGCTCTTAAAGCCGCTGTCGAACTCTGACCTTGTCAATGACTTGTCCATTAGATAAGGGATCATATATTCCTCCATTCTAGATATCATATGGACTGAGACATGGATTATAATCATTCTCTCTGTCCATTTGTTGTTTCCCGATTTTCGATTTATGATGACTGACTGATTGAACAATTAAATCAGTCCTGGCTTGGCCAAGCACTCACATGTGTCATCGCTAAATCATCGAGGGGCCCACATATATCGCTTTTATCCCGAAGGTAAAAGGAATGGATAAACTTCGACTCATATGGCTTGTTCTACTACTTGTTGAATCATACACAAAGGCACGTTTTATAACATCGAGTTACCAAATGCGTTTTCGTGCAATCAATGTATAACCAACTCATAGTAACAACTCATATCTCTAGGTTTGAAGAATATAAGATATTATCGTCTCATGATCACTCGTGATAAAATCCATGAAGTGATTCAAATGAGCGCGGGTTGAATCCAATACTCAGAACTTATGAGCACTCATGAGTGTTGTAGCACCACTTTGTCCACCAACTTGGACCTCTACAAACCAACCCATGACAGTCTTGATTCATATCTACTTCCAACATATGACCGACTGTGGATGGTTTGAATAACTTAATCATTCAGGAAGAGCGACTTAGTTATTCTGGAAGTCAAAACATGCAAAGTGAAACACAAGAATAAATGAATCAAATATGGTATCAAACCCTATGAATATAAATAAACACTTTTATTTATCACCATACTGATTACTCATTATTCATTGTTTCGGTTTTATCAACTTTATACTTGAATTAAAAACACTAGTTGTCCCATGCTCCAAGCATGTACACTATGTTTTTCTTAAACAATAGCTTTGCCATACACCAAGTATGCACTCTATGTTTGTCTATGATCCTTACTTTGTGAAATAAACCAATTGAACATAATTTCAATGATTCTAATTTCACACTCCCAAATCCTTATCGAAAATGTGAGAATTTCAAATTCCTATCATTTATCGAAATCTGTTTAGATTTTAAACTTATATGCACTGACCCTCCTGTAATGAATATGTACAAAGTCACAAAGACTTGTCAACAGTCATTATAAGGTATTCCAATGGAGATCAACTCCATGGAAACTAAGTCTCATATTCAAAGTACATTGCTTTGGACATGCTTCTTGCATTAAGTTTTCTAATCTTACACAGATAACTTCCACCTATGGAGACAACTCCATATTCTCATTTTGACTATCACTTCTGAATAAGAGATGCCTCTTTTCAGAATATGTCAATATGGTCCTTCCAAAATTAGCACTATACTTCCAACTGTCCCTGAGCAACCAATCTTTGGTAAACCTCAGATTGTCCTCGACAATTGCTTAATCATTTTAGTCATATCCAATTCTAGACCTTTTCCCTTCTTAATGCCTCTGGGCATTTGGAAAAATTTAGAAATGACAAATATTATAGCACATGCAATCGATCCTGTACCCAAAGCAAATGGTACACGATTCATGATGTCTCACATAAAGACATGATTCTAGACCAGTCTTTTGCTACAATATTTTTATTTGCCATGTTTTCAAAATTTGACTATGAAGAGGGATGCCGTAATCATAATCGAATTTTGAGAACGCAATATATAGAATTTCCTTAAGTTGAACCAATCCAACATGAAATTCATATATATATTCTTGACTAAAGATGATTAAGGTCTCAATCTAAGCCTTTAGAACTGAAATGAAGTATATCCTCTCCCTTAATTATAGCAAAACAACTTTTTCAATCCCTGCAGCCTCACGAATTGAAACTTTTGTTTTCTATAATTAACATTGCTAACTTGCAACACTAACAATAATTATCATGCTCCCACTAACATGATGATTATTAGCATAACACTTATGCTCCCACTAGCTTTGACATGTACTCAGAAATCAGCTGGACTTCTAGAAATCAATACTTTATTGACTTTCTTACCAAAGTTCAGATTTCTGATACGAGATGCTTTGATAAAACTTTATCAAAATCATACACCTTTCCTTAGATAGCATGCATGTGTGTCTAAACAATTTCAGAACTATGAAAAGGGATGCCATAATCATAGTCTCAATTGTTTAGACCTTTTGCCATCTGCTTCAAATCTACTTGGTGGAAGTGTTTCCTCACCATCATTTTCATGAATCGGAGAGAAACCTTATGACCCTTAGATTTTATGGTGTATGTGTTCTTATCCATGTGAATCGTCAAAACCATAGTCACAAGACAAGGATAATGACAAATCCAAACTCATATGGACTGAACTTATGCAATCTTAACTTCTTGCCACCTGGCAGTACAGGGCCTGCCATTGCTTCCAAGTTGTTATGCAACCAATTGAGAACTTTCAGAACTCCTATGCAAAGCCAACTTTAACTGGAATGGGCACAGAATATGTCAACACGATAGGTTATAAACCTCAAGTCGTGTGCTAGTGAAGAACCTCAGGTTTTATTCTTGATTAGTTCTTGAAATTCTTTTTAGGATCTTTAAGACTCCCACTATCCTCTTGACATATAAGACTATCTTGCCAAATATTCAAGAGATAGTGCGGATTCTTTATCAAGACAAACACTTCACACAATTGGCCTTAGTTGGTCTTTGTTTTATCCAAAACATCACAACTTACCAATTTCAAATGTACAAGAGTAGGACACTTTTACTCTTACATTTGACAAGTGTTTTAAACCTTTCTTTAAGATATGTCACTCAAGTTACAATCTTGGAGTATGACTCTAAGAATTGTTTTGGAACGAAGTATGACTCATCTTCCTGATCTAACCATTTCAACAATTCATGACTCCTCTTCTTAGTCATAAGAATGCACTAAGATGACCTTTAGAGGACTAATTGTGATATGATTTCTAAATCATTAAGATGATCACAAACATGATACTAAAGTACTCTCCCATCTTTTCAGATTTGAGAAACTTTTATCTTTCTGCCTAATTTGATTCTTCCCATTCGTTCTGCCATACATTGAGACTTTTCCAATGTTTCAGAATTATACTTAAACTTGTAAGTATAACCATATTTACTAAACTTTAGTAAATCAAATAGTCTTAACGAGCTTTGTGGTGGACATGACCAGTGCACAAGAATGTGTACTCGATCCCTTTAGTCCTTCACTTGACTCACACATCCATGTGAACAAGTAATTAGTCTTGATTTTCCAATGCTTGAAAGTTCTCATTCATCATACTATTCAACTTGCATGATTCCAAGTTTCGGTCCAATTGAAACTTGGGTGATGAGGAACTTTCCTGATTTGGTAAATTTAGACACTACCACAAATGAAAGAATCAAATCCATTTTCCAATATTGCTGTCAGTGGAATCATATAAGCAACAATTTTCCACAAATGCCATTGTAAGGATACTTCAAATAAATAAAATTAAACAATTTTCTTTTATTTTAAAACTTTGCGGAAAAACTTATCCTTACAATCCACATGGAAAATTGTTGTTATCTATTCCTTAGCAATATATCATAACTTCTTAAGCAACTGCTCAAAATTCTGATGCGATCGAAATCCACCTTCGCGATCAGAATCAACATATACTTCCTTTAAGATTTCTCTCTATTCTTTGATTCTTAAAACATCAACATGTGACCCAGTCACATCATGTAATGAGGATCTCAGAATAAAACTTAACAGAGTTAGATAATGGGCTCTACCTGATGTAGAGTCAAACTTATTGACTTTAACATCCTTAGGTAAATTTGGCAGCTTTGCAATCAACGCCCCTTCCTTTGGCAAAATAAACATATGGACCCTTTGGTAATGGGACTATCTCAGACTTAGCCTTTCTCTTTACCATTTGGTCAACCGGGTTGACTATGGCCAATCCCTTTCCATTGGGAAGAGAATGCTTTTTCTGGATTTCCAGTGTCACCATTGTCACTGTCCATAAAGTTTTTGGGAAGTTGATCTTCTAATCAAATTTGCTTTACTATCGTTCCAAATCATTGCTGATTCAGCAGCACCAAGCAAATAGATATGATCATTAAGGTTCATGTCATAGTCTGTTTCATAGTAGTCCCAAAGGAACTCACTATGTGACTTAGAAAGTGATTGAACATCCAACTTTCTCAAGACTTTGACACCCAACTCTCCCGGCTTGTCAATATGTGACTTCATCTCTAAGATGTGATCACACATAGACCTTGCTTGCCATTAGGGCTTGAGTGACCTTGAACTTGTGGGTTAGGGAGAATAATTGGAGGAGGTGGAGGAAGAGAAGTATGACTTCCATGAGCCAAACTCGGGAAGTCATATTCATTAGGAAAGCTTGGTTTGGGAAGATCATTGTTGTCTAAACCAGACATCAACAATGGGAGAAATTCACGTAAAGTTGATTTAAGTCCTTAATATAACACCCAATATGATATATTAAGGCTAGGACCCAACAAACTATTTTATAACTTGGAAGAGGGATGTCGTAATCCAAGCTATAAAATATTTGAAGGTAGGTGAATGACGATTCACCAATTTCCACCAAGATAAACGAAATGTATTATTAGGTTTTAATTGGTTTTGAAACTCCTAGATTCTTTTGAGATTCATTGAACTTTTCAATGGCATGTTTCAATCTCGAGTGTGCCCTTCAGGTTTTGTGACTGGGATGCCGAGGATCACAAAACAAGGTGTGAAGTAACCATGCAAATATACTTGGTACCCTTAATATTTACCCCTCAATCGATGTGCCGGTTAACCACACACGCTCCAACGATACTATGATAAACATTAAGTTACCCTTTGCCTACCTTGTTAAGTCCAGGTTAGTGTGCCGGTTAACCACACACGCTCCACTAACAGCTTAAACAAAGTGCAAAGTGTAATTTCATGGATTAGCACCTTATTCACATTTTCCTAAGTAACTAAGATTGGGAATTTATAAGTGTTTAGTTACTTAGTATTTATCATTATACTTATAATGAAGGGAGAATTATAGTCCTTGTCCTACCTGTTCGGCTAACGACCCTCCACCGGTCAAGGAAGCGGTGAGTGAGAGTGGACACCCATTAAACTGCCATTTTATAGGCAGTAACCTTATACCCCCTTATAGACCGGCTTCGTGAATGAGGCCTACTAATGGTAAGACGACTTGCCTTATACATATAATATATTAAACTTTTAATATTATAATAGTATAAGGGTGTATTTTAGACATTTAAAATACTTGGTGGTTTAATCTATTAATTAAACTAGACTTTTAATTTAATTAAACTCAAACCATATATTTATGGATTAATAATACTCTTTTAATTAAACACTTTAATTAACTATTAATAAAGTCCATAAGAGTTAATTTGAACTATTCAACAAAACATCATAATTCCAATTATTAAACTCAAAATTAAAACCATTTAATTAATTGTTTAAGTTATGAACCCAAGAGTTTTAGAATTCAATTCTTTTTTTCATAAAAAACTTTTCTCAAATTCCAAAACTTGAGGACAAGTTTTGTAATTCTTGAAAACCTTTGGATTCCATAACTTATGGAATTAATGGTGTTTTATGATGAAACTTTCCATGTTCCATAACTTAAGAACAAGTTATGGAATTCTTTAAAACATTAACACCAAATTTTGTAACTCCATAAAAACTTTGAATCAAATTTTTTTAAAAAAAAAACTTTCATATCCATAACTTATGGAAGTTTCAAAAACCCTTAAGATCACAACTTTAAAAAAAACTTTTGAGCTCCAAAATTTTATGACAAAATATGTAACTCCTTAAAACATTTAGATCAAACTTTTAAAACTAATAAAATAATCATATCATTTTATCTTTTACTAAATTTGACCTAATTCAACTCATATAACAAATGATTCAAATTTTACAAATAATTCGTTTTTTCACAAAACAAGTAATTATCTTAAAATTTGACAAACGTCATGTTTTTTTTTTCTTTTTTTTCAACTTGAAAATAAAACATTTGCATCAATATAACAGAAAACAACCCATGGCTTTGATACCACTGTTGGGTTTTGAGCATTCTAACACTCCTATGGTGTACATGCAACCCTATAAACCTTGGATCTATGTTTTCTCTATTATACATGCAAATATTAACTATTCCAAGGTTTCATCCTAACTAGCATATTATGAAGCACCTATACTACAAAGTTCTAGTTAGATGACATACCTTTTGATGTAGCTTGATGTCTTCAAGCTTTAAGAGCTTAGCCCCAATAGTGTGGAAGCCTCAAATGGAATCACAAATCACCAAAACACCTTGGAAGAACTTGAGAGAATATGTATGCACACTAAAATCAGCCCATACTTTTTTTCACACACTTGTGCCAATTTTGTGAGCCAAGGACCCCTTTATATATTATGGAGGATTAGGGTTACATCCATGTAAACCCTAATACCCATGACCTTTCATTTACATAGGATCCATGGGTTAAAAGCTCCATGGACCATCCATGAAAGCTTAGCCCAACCTAAATGAACTTGGCCCATTCCATATATATAAGAGTCCATATTTAATTAGTTCTTTTTGATCACTTAATTAATTCTAATTAATTCTTGATCAATACTAATTAAATAATATGATTCCATATTAATATATTAGAACTTATAATATATTAATATAAATCATAAATATACTATTCTCAAAAGACTATCCATATAAATTGTGCCGGTGAAGTGCAACCCAAATGGACCATGTCGGGTCGGGTCAAGTACATACCAAATATAGTTATGGACTTAGACATTAATCCAACAAGAATATGATAAAAGAAGCTCCAGTGGAAATGCTACAGGCACGTTGTCATCACCGAATCTTCATCAACAACCTCGACCAGGTGACCCCGTTGCTCATGCTCGACATGTTCCAAGCGATGCAGGAGACATGAGTGCAGCAAACGAATCTGCAAGAACAAATCCATTCAACGACCACCAAGCCCCGACGAAGCATACCACCACCAAAATCTTTTGTAATCAAATGTCCAGTAGTATCCTTAATGAAGAACACTTTTGTAATCGAATATCAACTAATGAATGATATCTTTTGATCTTTATCACCTAATATATTTATCTGTTACCACTAATTCTAATGAATGATATCTTTTGATCCTTATTCCCTAATATAATTATCTGCTCTATTAACAGATTCTTAAATAGATACGAAATATCTTGAACAAAGGTTACAACCGATATCATAGGAACATATATGGTCCCTCTGCCCCCCGCGAAGCGGGGGTTACCAATCTAGTTAGCTTTAAGTTATAACCTATGCAATTGGCTCAAATTATGATCTATTTACTTCTATTCTAAGGAAAACTTTATTTAGTAAAATCGTAATTTATTATACAAATTGTCGATAGAAAATGGATTGATATATAAGATTATTTGTAAATGGAGCCTCTTAAGCATGTGAGACTTCGTCCGTGAGCCATTTATATAAGGGCTCTTGACATTTATATAAGGGCTCTTGACATAAAAGTTTTTAAGTTTGTCAAAATGTGAAGGTTTTGTCCCAACCACGATTTTAAGTGTGTTAAAGCCTAAAATTTGCAAAGTTTTTTTTTCATTTTTGTCGTTAAGTTTACAAATTTGAAAAAAAAACCTTAAATATGAAATCAAATTTGAAAAAAAAAAAAAAAACCTTAAGTTTACAAATATTTTATTTTTTTACCTTAACTATGTTTTCCAAATTTGACGGTTCTTAAGTTTGTCAAATTTTGTAGGTTTCATCCCTAGGAACCTGTTATTATAGGTAACAAGGGAAAAAGAAACTTGACAAACTTTGGACATTAACGAATAAAAAATCGTCACATTGAAAAACCGATAAAATTTGACAAACTTAAGGACTTTTATGTCAAAAACCCTTTAAATAAATACTGTATTGATTGCAGTTTCAAGATATATACACATTTCTTTAAATATTTCCTAATGTGCATGAAACGATTCCCTTTTGCCTTGATAAATATCGATGATATTATGTCATGCTCTCAATTAAAAAAAGTGCTTTTTGGGAAAGAGACGACCCATGTTGATCTATGTGTTCACGAATCTATGAGGTATGCTAAAGAGCCAAAGTTTTGCACGATCTCTCAAAGTGAAGGAGAATGCCATTAAATTGATATGGTCTTTTGTGTTGGGATTTCATTATAGTGTAAACAGCTAAAACTCCTTTAAATTTTTATGTAGTTCCTCGCTTTTTAGTCCATGGAAGTTCAATTATAGATGAATAAGCCTGACTTTAAGGTTAAAATTTTTCTATTGTAGGGAAATGGTTAGTGTAAAGTGGTTGTTGTATGAATTTAATTGTTGCCCATTCTTGTAAAAGTTTCTCATGTTAGTCTACCATGGGTGTTTCGAGTTTTTGCTCGTATATTGTAAGATCATGAATTAAGAGTTATACGTTTTGACATTTATTATAACTGAAAATATTTTTATAATAAGTTAGTCATTCAAGAGAATTTATTGTATAAAAACGTGTTTGTATACATAAATATATTCAAATACATTTACTATGAAAAGTTATTATATATATATTATTATAGATATCTATATATATATAGATTATATATACACACACGTATTTGTATATATCTTTTATATAAAAACGGATTTGTATATATTTATATATTAAATTTATATGCACACAAAATGTTTTTCTGTACTTAATAAATATTTATTTCATAAAGGTTTTTTTTAAGGTATATATGGGTATAATGACGTATTTTACACAAGTGTATTTCACACAATTTTATATACCTACGTTTTCACAAATAGTTATTTAGAATAAAAAAATATTTTATAAATAGGTATTTTGTATACAAAAATGTTTTTTTTTTTTAATTTTATATAGAAAAAAGAAGGTTTTTTTTATGTGAAAATGTGTTTTTTTTGTATAAATATTATTTTATAAAGCAAAAAAGCATATGTTGTTACGGCGAACTCCAAACGCATGTTCTTTATCCCTAGAGTGTAAGCAACTTCCCCGAGGTCTTTTATAGCAAAACACTTCCCAAGCCATGACTTAACCTCCTGCAAGGTTGGGATGTCGTTTCCTATGAGTAGTATGTCATCCACATACAACACTAGAAAGCTAATTGTACTGCCACTAGCTTTAACGTATACGCAGGACTCATCCTCGCTTCTCGAAAAACCAAACTCTTTGACTTTCTCATTGAAACAAAGATTCCATCTGCGAGATGTTTGTTTCAATCCATATATGAATTTCTCAAGCTTACACACTCTATTAGGGTATTTTGCATTGACAAAACCCTCTGGCTGACTAATGTAAACATCTTCAGCCAACTTCCCATTAAGGAAAGCGGTTTTGACATCCATTTGCCATATTTCATAATCATGAAATGCAGCTATGGCTAGCTTAACCCTTATAGATTTGATCTTCGCTACTGGTGAGAAGGTCTCGTCATAGTCAACTCCATGAGTTTGAGTAAAGCCCTTCGCAACCAATCGTGCATTATATGTGTGTACTTTCCCATCCATGTCGGTCTTCTTCTTGAAGATCCATTTGCACCCGACTTTCTTACGACCTGGTGCATTGTCAACCAAGTTCCAAACTTGATTATCATACATAGACTGAATCTCGCTGTCCATAGCCTTTTTCCATTTTGCAGACTCGGGGCCCGCCATGGCTTCCTTGTAGTTATTAGGCTCATCCAAATTTACCAGTGTACTATCACTGATAAATGTATCACCATATGTAGTAATATGGAAACCATAAAACTCAGGTGTCATTCTAACTCTACTGGAACGTCTCAGAGGTAAGGACTCGTCAATTGGTTCAACAGGAGTTTCCTCCTCGGGTTGAGCGCTAGTGTTTGAGGTTCCTTCATCACTTAAATCTTGAAGCTTTTCAAGGTCAATTTGCCTAGAGGGATTATTCCACTCCAGAAGTTAGGAGTTGCTTCCCTTGATGTTTCTGAGGTCCCTAGTCCATAAAGTTAGCATCTTGATGGTTGAGGATCAACCATGCATATGTTTATGTCCACTTGGTGAAAGTAGGATGCTAAATCTAGGGTTTGAGTTCATTTGAGCCATGAAAAGGCTCTAAGTTAGTGACTTTATATGATAAGACATTCCACAAGGTCTGGATCTGTGATATGAACATTTGGTTTTAAGCATTAAGTGATTAACGGCAAAAACAACTTAATGGGTGTGTACCTCGGGCGTACGCAAGCATATGCTACGCGTACGCGTATGGATCCCCATCTCCGTGTAGCAACCTAGTACATCGGGTGTACTAGGGGTACGTTTAGCGTACTCGACCGGTGGGCTCATGTGTTTTGGGCCATCTTCAGACTATTAGGGTTTTGGGATTTTTTGGGCCACTATCCTTTCTGAATTTAGGTCATTGTTAGGCTTTAGGCCTTCTTAGATTTGGGCCCATATTGGGTTGTGGGGCGTCCTTTAGGAATTGGGCCACTACCGGGCTTTTAGTGCCATTGATGTTTGGGCCTCGGTTATTGAGCCAAGTGAGGAAAGGGTAAAATGGTCTTTTACCCTGGGTGTTGGACAAATGAACTAGATTCTCGGTTATGGTTTATGACCCAATTATTAATTGGGGGTTTTATTTGATTGGTTAGTGCGGGGATTCTCCGGTTCAACAACCCGATCATCTGTTTGATTGACATCAGACTGAGGTGAGTTTGCTCACTAGACTGTAGGACATTAGGATATGTTATGTGCTTGTAGTCTCTGTGACTCCTGATGTATGTGTTGTATGCATGTATGTCTGTTTGCTATATGTATGTGGGGTGAAAAAGACCCGATACAACCTTATGCTGACATATGAGTTAAAATAGACTCGGGGTGAAATAGACCCGGTACGGCTTTGGGCCGACGTATGAGTTGAAATAGACTCGGGGGTGAAATAGACCCGAGGGTGAAATAGACCCAAAAAAACCTTAAGCTGGAAGATATGTATGGTATGCGGTATTTAGGGGAACTCACTAAGCTTCGTGCTTGCGATTACTTCCGGATCGAAGGGGAAGAGCTCGGGATGATCGCATCGCACACACCATGACTTTTCATTTATTCGAATCTGATGTGTTTTGGATGATTATGAACACATTATGAATTCCCTTTGGTTTTGATAAACACGATTGGTTGATGTTTTATTTAATATAAAAACAAAAATTATTGGTTTTGAATTTTGGGACGTTACATCATAAGGACTTTTTATGGAGTTTCCCTATTAAAAAATCTATATATATCTCATGCCGAAGGATATATAGCTACAACCATTTTCAAGATTAACTTAATGATGCCGATCCATGAATTGACATGTTGAGGTTAGGTTAATCCAATATTCACTACTAGTGAATACATGTGAATTTGGCTCTCATGAAACATATTCACCACCAACGAATATTTACCAACATTGTCATCAGTCTTATTCTATGGATGTTTTGTGCAACTAATTGTTATTTATGAATTAAAAATGCAATACAGAACACAATAATATTGATTAACATCATACAAAGCATATTAATTCGTAACTTATCTTGAAACTATTTAAATTTACAAATTAAAATAAGCTACCAACGTAACAAAGTCCAATGCATACAATATCACCACCATGCTTGGCACGAGGCTTGGTCATTGTTAAAATTTGAAACAAAATGATTTTGATAGTGACATATTACTTCTTATTGTAGTCATTTTAGTGAATAACTCAAAATATGGATGACCAAAATACTCGACTGATCGGAACCGAAACTGAAACAATATGAGCACCGAATATGTAAATAGTTTGGTTCTCGATTCCTTATATTCCTAAAAACCAGTTTCGATTTTTGCAGGGTTCGAGTATTTGGTTATCGTTTTTTTCAGGTTTAGAACTGAAATTTGAGGGGCCACTTGACCATATTCCGACCCTCATAACTTTTTCGTTCAAGGTCGGAATAAGTTGATTTTTTTTTTCAACATTTAGTTCTCTGTTCTGGCTACACATTAGGTTCAAGAACCAACTTAATTGGTTAAAATTGACTTGAGTCATACATCCCTAAACATGGGTTGTCGGTCTATTTAGTTTGTGTAAAATTTTCAGTCAACTTTAAACAATCTTAAATTTTTATATGAGTTCCCAATAAACTATTTTTTTTTCTATAATTTAGTTATCTATAGCTACTATATTTTAGGATCAAGAACCACTTTAATTGGTTAAAAAATAGATGAATTACACCACCCTATATTAGGAGCTGTTAGAGTTGATTTTTTATAAATACTTATTTATTTAGGCTCAAGAACCACTTTAGTTCAGTTATATATCGGGGACTTTCGCCAATACCATATCATCATAAGTCGGTTTGGTTTTCGATTTCTTGATTTTATTTTTCAATTTTGGAAGTGATCGCATCCTAAACTTAAAAATTGTATTTGATAAATTATATATTCTATAATGATGTATATAATATTATATATATTCAATTTAGAAACATTATCGTTTAATGAGTCCAACGGTATCCGATGTTGCCTTCTCTATTTGAGGTTGAAGATTCAAATCCCGTAGTAGACATAGATGAAATCATGAAATTATGAATAGTTTAGAAATAATGTAGATTTTGACTTTAAAAAAAAAATGAGTTCGAAAAAAAAATAATACCAAAATAGACATTATCGTTTAATGGTAAGTAAGATCATTCTTGTGGCAAAGTAAACCGTTTCTTTGCCGGATCTACAATCAACTTTTAGGCGCATAAAGGAATTAGAGGGGCAACTTCGAGTGTCCAAAGGCAGTTGACATCTGCCCCAAAACACTAAAAGTATCATATAATTGTACACTAATAAAACTCTCCGCATCAGATTCATTTTTGGATCGAGAGAGAGAGAGAGAAAGCACGCGGCATGAATTTACAGAGGCCAGATCTGAAGATCTAGCCCTACATATCTCAAATTTAGCATTCATCAATCGCTAGATTTAAAGTTTTAGTAGTAGGAAGGAATAACCATGGAATTGTTTAAGAATTTACCGGAGATGGATCTGATGCGCTCGGAGAAGATGACGTTCGTCCAGTTAATCATTCCGGTTGAATCCGCTCACCGCGCCATATCCTATCTTGGCGAACTCGGTTTACTCCAGTTCCGTGACGTATGCTTTCGATCCAACTTTATTTATATATGTATGTGAATTTTTGTATGTTTGCATTTATGTTCATGGTTCCTGAATTGCTGATATCCGTATTTCTGGTTTTGATCTTGGTTATTATAGAGAATCCTTTGAAGTTTGTTATTTTGTATAGTTAATGCTCCATCCAAGTTAAAGTTTAAAATCTAGTTGTTGCCGAATGCTAATTTGGTGTAAACCTAAGAATGAATGTAACTCGAACATTAATCTAGTTGTAGCTATTAAAATTTACACTAGTGGTCCTATGAACTTGCATGTTGAAGGTAATTTGGCATCACAGGTCCAACCTTGTAATAGGTTGTAAAAAGGGAAATGCACCCCTGACCGCTCTAACAACTAGCCTCAAAACCGCCATGATAGGTAAATCACAATGTCCAAGAGCAAGGGTAAGCATGGTGACCTTATTTATGGATTCTCATCTCCTTACTGGTAGGGCAAGCATGTGGGGATTATCATATGTTATAGAGTCATGGTGTCCTTGTCTCCTAGAAGGTTTAAAGATCCCAGCCCCTTTTCCATTAGTTTAAGCATAGAGTAACAAAATGTGTGAGACTATTGTTATGATATAGAGGGATGAGCTAGAGTGATGTGGATTGCACATAGACTATTGTTAAAGCAGAAGATTTTCCCCCCTTCTGTACATCCTAATGATGTAGATGCCCTTTGAAATGCTTACAATGGGTGGCAGAAGACATAATTAGTGAAACAAGTTCTTTATGTCAATTAGTGGTGATGGCCTGTGTCTTTAACTCTTTGAATAAAAATTGTCTAAATAATCCCTAAGAGTGGGTTAAGAATGTCGAAATAATGGCTATTGCTTGTGAAATGGAGTTGTGTGAAGCTCATTGTGACTGTTAAATGTTAGCGTGTTCTTTCACTTTTCATCTAATTCTGTATATTTGGTCTTGGGCTTTACAAGTCTTGTTTTATTAAGTCCTTGAGATCAAAGTACATCCAAATATCAATGCCCTTTTATTCGTTTAGTTTCTTTTTCTTTCACACTTCATGCAAGTTGCTAATCTACTGCTTTTGATTCTTATTGATAGTTAAATGAAGATAAAAGCCCATTTCAAAGAACATTTGTTAATCAGGTAATTGTTATATCATATTCATAGCTCATATCATTCATTAATCAGGTGATATTTATATCATCTTCTGTTTGCTTTTGTATCTGTTGGCCATGATTGTTAGGTAAAAAGATGTGCTGAGATGTCAAGAAAGCTTCGCTTCTTTAAAGATCAGATACACAAGGCTGGTTTACTATCTTCTGCTCTTCCTACAATGCAACCAGATGTGGACTTGGAGGCATTGGAGGTCTGTACTTAACTCCTTGTCAAACTCACCAGTCACCAACTAAAAAAAACAGAAAAACAAAAGAAACTCTTATCTAGCCTGATTTTCAGGATAAGCAGCCATTGCATGTTTTTTAGTATAAACATGAACTTATTATTATATTTTCATTTTTAATCACAGATACAACTTGCTGAGCATGAACATGAACTTATTGAGATGAATGCCAACAGTGAGAAACTACAACAGACATATAATGAGCTGCTGGAGTTCAAAATGGTGCTGCAGAAGGTGCGTTGCACATAAATGTTTGTTTCTCACTTTTTTGTGATAGAAAATGTCATATAAATGGCTATAGTATGCTTTTGTTCTTGTTTCATCTCATCTTAATCTCATTTGTTGTTAGATGTGGAATAAAGGTACATGTACATCTTATAAAGTATCCCTTTTACCTTCTTTTTTGACTATTTTAAGTTTATAAAAGCATCCTACATTGTGGTAAATGGTACATAGTACATGTGGCCATCATGCTCATCAACATAATTATTCACACTTGGTCAACATCTTTAATTTGTAATTATTTTTTGAGAGTAAATTACAAAAATGGTCTCTGCGCTTTCTGAATTTTCCCGTGTGTAGTCCAAAATTGAAACTTTTTCCAGTTTTGGCCCTTATTTTAAAGTTTCATATCGATTTTGGTCCATGGAGACTTGAAATAAGGACCAAAAAGAGAAAGTCCTAGGTACCAGAATAGATATGAAACCTTGAAATAAGGACCCAAGTTTAAAAAGGTTTCAATTTTCGACTAAACATGGTAAAATTCAGAAAGCACAGGGACTATTCTTGTAACTAACTCAAATTTTCTGTTTTAGATTTCTGATTAGTAGAATATTTAGCATATCCTAAAATCATAATTCTGAATACCATCATGATTTCTTCAGGCAGGAGATTTCCTTCTCTCAGGTAAAAGTTATGAAACTGCAGATGGCAGAGAACTAGAAGAAAATGTGTATGTCAGTGACTATCCAGATTCAGTCTCATTACTTGAACAGGTAAAAACCTCACATGTTTTTCCTTTTTTAACTCTCCCTTTTATATTATTAAAAAAACTCAAAAACTTGTGAAATTCCACACAGGCAACACAATCAGGACCCTCAAACTTATCTGGTCTTAGATTTATAAGTGGCATTATCCCAAAATCCAAGGTATTATTATTCGAGAGAATGTTGTTTCGTGCAACAAGGGGAAATTTACTTTTCAATCAAGCAACTGCAGATGACCTCATCATGGATCCTGTAACATCTGAAATGGTTTGTTCAGATGCCCTCATAATTTACATTCATCATTATTTTTTTAAATTCAATGAATTTAATTTATAAGCTTCTTTGCAGGTTGAGAAAACTGTATTTGTAGTTTTTCTTTTCGGGAGAGCAGGCAAAGACAAAAATACTTAAAATCTGTGAAGCATTTGGTGCAAGTTGCTACCCTGTTCCAGAGGACATAACAAAACAGACTCAAATAACTCAAGAGGTGTGTCTTCAAATCAAAATGGGTATTAGACTATTAGTATATTACTTTAGTTAGTTTAAGTAATTTCATTTTTTTATGTTCTTTAAAGGAGTTCAAAATTGTTTTCTGAACTTATCCTATTACAGGTTCTATCAAGGCTTTCTGAGTTGGAAACCACTTTGGATGTTGGAATTCGTCACAGGAATGCTGCTCTTCACTCCATTGGGTTTCGTTTAATAGTATGGATGAACATGGTAAGGTGTGCTTATTTGTGGCTTCATGTATTAAAATTATCATACATTGAGAGTGATGTTATTTCTGTTTTTCTAAATATTGTCTTGTATATTTTATGTGATAACATTCTAGGTTAAAAGAGAGAAAGCTGTGTTTGATACTTTGAATATGTTAAACTTTGATGTTACAAAAAAGTGTCTAGTTGGAGAGGGATGGTGTCCGATATTTGCTAAACCCCAGGTACTTTGCTTTAAGTTTATTACCTTTTTAGATATATATTGGATTTTCTTTTTTTTGAAACTTATTTAATGCTTCCATTTTGTTGTATTGTTTTAGATTCAGGAGGCACTGCAACGTGCAACATTTGATAGCAACTCACAAGTGGGCATCATATTTCATGTGATGGATGCTGTGGAGTCGCCTCCAACATATTTCAGAACTAACAGTTTTACAAATGCATATCAAGAAATTGTTGATGCCTATGGGTAAGCTATATATATATATATATATATATATATATTATATTTAGGTATTTTATAAATCATATATTTCTTTCTAGGAAAATGCTTGTAGAATGCTCATGTTGGACTTAACATCCATTCTTTATGTGAACTAAACGCTATGATAGTGTTTGGCACGAGGAAATTGGAAAAGGAATGGAATGGTTCATTCCATTCCTACAAACCAACCAAACATGATCATGGAATGACTCATTCCATTCCATTCAACCTAAACATTTTATAATTACAATATTATTTGAGTTAATGATATCCAAATTCTATTGATTGCAGTGTTGCTAAATACCAAGAAGCAAATCCAGCAGTTTATACTGTAATTACTTTTCCATTTCTTTTTGCTGTCATGTTTGGGGATTGGGGACATGGAATATGCTTATTGATAGGTGCATTAGTTCTCATAGCACGTGAAGGAAAGCTTAGTACTCAGGTGCACAACACAATCTCTAAAAAAGAAAATCCTAATTTTATTTTTATAAATAAATTCACATTACTCTTATTAAAATTATATATATATCTGGCAGAAACTTGGGAGCTTCATGGAGATGTTATTTGGTGGACGTTATGTACTTCTTTTAATGTCAATTTTTTCCATCTACTGTGGTCTAATTTACAACGAATTCTTTTCTGTTCCTTATCATATATTTGGTGCATCCGCATATAGATGCCGTGACCCCTCATGCAGGTATATTTATTATTTCATTTTCTTTACCAAAAAAAAAAGAAAAAGAAAAAAGTATCGCCAGCTGGCACTAAACAATCATTTTTTTCTGTTTCCACTTTCCATCAACAGTGATGCATATACAGTTGGTTTAATCAAATATCGCGATGCATATCCATTTGGTGTGGATCCTAGCTGGCGTGGGAGTCGTTCAGAGTTACCCTTTTTGAACTCTCTCAAAATGAAAATGTCTATTTTGCTTGGAATTGCTCAGATGAATCTTGGAATCATGTTGAGTTACTTCAATTCGATTTTCTTCAACAACTCATTGGATATAAGGTATATATATATATACTGTATATTTTATTTGAAATGTTTATAGATGAATTAATTTGTGGAACTTATTTTCAGGTACCAGTTTATCCCACAGATGATATTTTTAAACAGCCTTTTTGGGTATCTTTCACTTCTGATTATCATAAAATGGTGCACGGGGTCTCAAGCGGATCTTTATCATGTCATGATTTATATGTTCTTGAGTCCCTTTGATGATCTTGGTGAAAATGAGTTGTTTTGGGGACAAAGGCCTCTTCAGGTATGATCTATTTATTGTTTCTCTCTCTTTCTTTGATTCCGTAGAATATAAGGGTGTGTTTGGTTCGTGGATTCTGATGGAATTGGAATCTGAGATTCCACTCCATGGAGTGTTTGGTTGCTAAATGGATAGAACTCTATTACTGCATAATATACCTTCAAACTCCATGTTTGATGGACCACTCCTATGGTGGGGGGAAGGAAATCGATTCCATTCTTCATTTCTCTATTAAAAGACCAAAATACCCTCATTATATAAATAATATATACATTCAAATTCAAATAAATAATAATAATAATAATAACAAAAAAATATGTTACTAAAAGTGTAGCTGTATATCTGAACATTATTTGATTTTTATGATTAAATTCCATTCATTTTGCAGATCCTATTGTTGTTTTCAGCTCTTGTTGCTGTTCCGTGGATGCTTTTCCCCAAACCTTTCATTTTAAAGAGACTTCATGCTGAGGTACTCTACCCATACCCAAAACACTTGTTTAAAACTTCAAATATTATTTCCATTTCCATATTATCATTTTGTAATTTATTTTGTATTTTAGCGATTCCAAGGTCGTGCATACGGGATTCTTAGGTCGTCCGAGGTAGACACCGATTCCGAACCCGGTTCTGCAAGACAACGCCACGAAGAGGAATTCAATTTTAGTGAAGTTTTTGTACATCAAATGATACATTCCATTGAATTTGTACTCGGTTCTGTTTCCAATACTGCTTCATACCTTCGATTATGGGCTTTAAGGTACACACCATTCACATGCATTATAATTTCATTTATTCTTTACTGTGTTTTAGCTTATACTTTATGTTTTTTTTTTTTTTTTTTTTTTTTTTTTTTTTTTTTTTTTCCGTTACAGCTTAGCTCACTCAGAATTATCCACTGTATTCTATGAGAAAGTTCTCCTCCTTGCTTGGGGGTAAGCCGATTCTTTCTAGAACCCTTTTTTAAATTTTGAGTAAATTACATTTTTGGTCCCTGATTTTTTCAGTTTTGGTCCTACAAAGTTTCTCTTGCAAATTTTGGTCCTTATTTGTAACATTTTTGTTCCTGTTCAAAGTAAATTGACTATATTTTTTGGACCAAATTTGCAAGAAATCAGCTATATGCTCAGAGAGGACTATAATAGTTGTTTTACTTGAAGCATGGACCAAAAAATTACAAGGACCAAAATTGCAAGAGAAATTTCTTTTCGAGCAAAATTACCAAATTAGCTATGCCCAGGGACCAAATATGTAATTATATTTCTGGTCCCTGAATAGTGAATATAGCCTGTTTTTTACATTTTTGGTCCTTGTACTAAATAAAATGACTCTTTTGCACCAAAATTGCAAAAATCAGTTATACTCTAGGACCAAAAATGTTATTTGCTCTGGAATGAGTAAATTACATTTTTGGTCCTTGAGTATAACTGAAAATTTCAATTTTGGTGTTACAAAGTTGGTCCTTATTTGAGGTTTTCGTAGCGTTTTTGGCCCTCCTTCCAAGTGAAAAGACTATTTTTGGACCAAAGTTGCAAAAATAGGCATAACCGAGGACTTAAAATAATCATTGTACTGGAACATGAACTAAAAATGTTACAAGAACCTCAAATGAGGACCAAAATTGCAAAAATCAGCTATACCCAAGGACCAAAATTATGAATTTAGTCATTGATTAAGAATTATTTAAATGCGGATTTTTAGGTATGATAATTTTTTAATCCGAATGGTGGGGCTAGCGGTGTTTGCTTTTGCAACTGCATTTATACTGCTAATGATGGAGACACTAAGTGCTTTCCTTCATGCATTGAGGCTACACTGGGTGGAATTTCAAAACAAGTTTTATCAAGGCGATGGTTATAAATTCAAACCTTTCTCATTTGCTGCTGTATTAGCTGATGATGAAGATTAGTTCTAGTACTAGTAAAATGACAGTTTTCTCCTCACATTTTCTCGGGAACAAGTACACGTTTTCCCCAAAATCAGAGTCTTTTTTTTTACCCACCCACCCACAGAGGCGTAAAAAGGGTAACAACAACCTTAAAACACAGAATTTTTGGGTAGTTAGATATGTTTTTATTTTTACTTTTTATTTTACCCATGTGCAGCTTTTCAGTTAACATAGCATTGTAGAAACCCTGCTTGCACAAATATGGTTTATATTACAATGTAGGTGTTGTAAAGAGGGGATGTTATATCATTATCAGATTCGCGTATTCTGTAGATTTTCAATCTATACATTTTCTATTATGTTGTTTACTCAGTAGTATAATAAACAAAATTTACACAAAGTACTACTCTTAGCCTTTATGAATTGTTTCTTTTTGACTTAAATGAGTAAACACTTAATCTGGACAACTATATATATGGTTGTTTCTTTTTTGACTTATTTTGGACAATATGATTTAATGAATTAAACCCAAAAAAATCGGCTTAATATATGAAGACTCTTAACTCTTTATTGTATTTCTTCCTTTTTCATTACAACCACATGTTAAAATTGATGAATATTAATAATATTAATATTTTTAAGGTAAAATATAATTATTTATTTGTCATATTACTTGTGCATAACTTAATACGAAAAAAAGGGAATAGTCTCTCAATGTTTATATTTTTTTTAACATGTGTGTTGGTGCATGTCTAATATTTTAATGAAATACCAAGTTTTGTACTCCAAACATTTCTAGTTCTAATGACTTTAATGTATATGATTGTCGAACTTGTAGTATTATTTATATTAAAGGTCAAAATACCAAAAACATCTATAACGAAAACTTTAGGCTTGATGCTTGAATGATGAACTTTATGCCAAATATCAACAATTTGTATATAGAGATTTCCACATGAGATTGAAATACCACTTAGTGTGTTGAAGATTTTATTTATGGAAGTTTGGTGATCTTGATTAAAAAAGGGTTAATGACCTATGAGAGTAACAAACTTTGGTTTTTGTCCACATTTAGGTAATCATGTATTTTCGTACACATTTGATAAGTAAACTTGTTTGATCCGTTCAAAATAAGATAATATTATTACCAATTATCGGTGATATCACCCTGTTATAAATAGGTCAAACAAGTTAAATAAGTTTATTGGTCATGTGTACAAAATACCTAGATAAGGATATAAACCAAAGTTCGTTACCCATTTTGATAATATTAGGTTCGTTATGCTAAGTGCAAATAGACATAATACCATTGATGTGACATGGAATTAGGTCTTGGTGTCAGATACAAATCGCAAATTTGGAGTAGGTGCCGTTAGCGAGTTCTGGATTTGATTCCTAGCTGTCATTAGAAAACAAAACCGTTAAAATTGCACCAGCCCCAGGAGTAGGCTCTGACGATCAAGTTAGATCGACGTGTGTGAGGAGATGGTTTCTCTTGGATGGAGAGATCCATCTTTGTGGGAAGAGTATGCATACAATGGAGGCTCATGTCTCATAATGAGAGATCCTCCATGGAGGATGAGATGTTCTATCTATAGAGCTAGGTTAATGAACAATTAGGTTAGGCATTGAGCCAACCCAGTTCAGCCCGAGCTAGTAAGGGGCTAGGCTATGCGAGTGTGCGGCCATGCAATGTTGTTAGGTGGTGTTACCACCCGTATTTTAGATCTCTGATCCAGATCCGACACCAAGACCCGATTCAATGTCACATCAGTGAGTCTTATGACTATTTGCATTTAGCATAAAGAACCCAATATTAGAAAAATGGTTAACGAACTTGGTTTTATTCATATTTAGGTAACCATGTCTTTTTTTTTTTTTATATATGTTTGACTAGTAAACTTGTTTGACATGTACGTAATACGGTAATATCACCGATAATTACTAATAATATTGCCCTATTTTAAACTTATCAAACATATACGAAAAAACTATTATTATATAAATATAGACAAAAATCAAAATTAGGTCATTAACCTCTAAAAAAAGGTCTCAATTAACCGGAGTTAATTTAAATTTGACATTAGATGGTGGTTATAGACGATAATTTAAAAAAATCATCATCAAATGAACTTTACACACATAACATGACTACATAACATGATGGAGACGTATATGGAATTTTATACACAAAGGGAGTTTAATTCCTAGAGATCTTGAGAACACGAGGGGTGAATCGGAAAAGGGGATGCATCACGAGATGCCATTTACTCTAACTGTTGCGCAGGAATTAGCCACTGTAGAAAAACCTCAAGAAACCCCGATTATCGATCGGTTATCATCACACCATCATCTGTTGCGCAACTGAAGCTATTATGGAGAGTAACGTATATGATAAGAATAGGGATCCTTCGCAACATGAGATTCTGGAGGTTTTTAAGAGAGAAATCGGTTTCAATCCTCCCAGAAACTTCTCTCGCCGAATCTCTGCTTCCGAGGTTCGTTTTTCCCCAGATATATTTACGATTGTGAAATTAATGGGGAGTTTTATATTGAAATCGTGAAATTGGTTCGGAGTTTTATCTTTAAGTTGTACTTACAGTTTATTTCAGCTCAAGTTTTACAAATTCTAAATTGATTGTGCGTTCTACTTTGCGAGGTGAGTATTGATGTAATGCTAGATTCTAATTTTGATGAAGGATCGAGAGTCTGTTCACAAATCAAAACTATTGATTACATCATAAGCAACCATTCTAATCCATTTAACTGATAGATGATAAAGTATACGCTAATCTGCAACCCCATTCTAACCTAATTTATGATTCCACCATCGAATCAAGCCATCAACCAACAATTACAAGATGTTCACTTTATGACTACACGAGTCTTCTATGTCCTTGAATTAACCTTAGATTATGATTGTTGCAGGCTCTTGTAAAGAGAATTGATCTTGCTGGTAAACTAAATGGGCATGAAGGTTGTGTAAACACAATAGAGTTCAACCATTGTGGTGATCACCTTGTGTCAGGTTCTGATGACAGACGAGTTATGTTCTGGAATGTAGCAACTAAATCCTTAGTCCTTTCATATGCTTCTGGTCATGTAGACAACATATTTCAAGCTAGAATCATGCCTTTCACTGATGACAGAACCATAGTTACTTCTGCTGCTGATGGCCAGGTTAGTTTACATTATATTGTTTATGAAACTTATTTGCTCACTTAGTTTCAAATATATACATTCATTCAAATTTCAAAACATAACTTATATTTTCAGGTAAGACTTGGTCAAATAGCAGAGAATGGAAATGTCCAAACAAAAAAATTAGGTAAACACCATGGACGTGTTCACAAGCTTGCAGTTGAGCCTGGAAGTCCCCACATATTTTACAGCTGTGGTGAAGATGGATTAGTTCAACATGTAAGTTTTATAATTACCATTTTACCCTTACATTCCAAAAGTATAATTTGTTTTACAAATATTTTGCAGTTTGATTTGCGAAGTAATTCTTCCACAAAGCTTTTCTGTTGCACCCCATTCACAGAACTCAACCACAACCACTCTTCCTCAAACACCATAAGACTAAACTCCATCATAATCGACCCCAGAAACCCTAATTTTTTCTCCATAGGAGGTTCAGATAAATACGCACGTCTATACGACATCAGAAACTTTGACCAACCAGTCAACACATTTTGCCCAAAACATCTTACAGAAACACACGATGTCCACATCACTGGCATGTCATACTCCAACACAAGTGAGCTTCTTATCTCCTACAATGATGAACTCATTTATCTTTTTCAAAAAAACAATGGAGGTTTAGGTCCAAATCCCTTGAATGTGATGAGTTCGGATGATTTGGAAGATCCACAAGTGTATTGTGGACATAGGAATTCATTGACAGTTAAAGGAGTTAGTTTTTTTGGGCCGAATTGTGAGTATGTCATGAGTGGATCGGATTGTGGGCATATTTTTATTTGGAAGAAAAAAGGAGGTAGGCTTGTTAGGGTAATGGAAGGTGATAGGCGTATAGTGAATCAAGTTGAGCCTCATCCTAGTATCCCTGTTCTTGCTTCGTCTGGATTGGAAAAGAATGTAAAGCTTTGGGTTCCTGTTTCTGATGACATTCTTCCCCTTCCTCATGATTTACAAGAGGTATGATCTTTCAAAACCTTTTCTGAGTCAGACCGACTAGAGTCTCAGTCCGATGCATGCCAAACACAAAACATTGTTTGAGTCGGACTGTCTGAGACAGTCAGACTAACTCAGATTGTTTGAGTTAGTCTGTCTGACTCAAACTGTCTGACTTAGTTAGTAGACTGTCTGACTTAGTTAGTAGGCTGTCTGAGTCAGACAGTCTAGTAGGCTGTCTGAGTTAGTAACATCAAACAATATTAACTCAACCGAGTGTATGCCTTACATTTATGACAGAACCATATTGAATTTCCATCATCTAAGGAGCCATCAAACAATATTACACTCGGTTGAGTTAGTAGACTGTCTGACTCAGATTGTCTCAGTCTACTTAGTAGACTGTGACTGACTGTTTGACTCAGATTGTCTAAGTTAGTAGACTGTGACTGACTGTCTGACCCAAACAGACTGTCTGACTCAAGTTGTCTAGTCTGTCAGACTGTCCGACTCAAGTTGTTTGAGTTAGTAGACCGTCTTATTGACTGTCTACTACAGACAGTCTGACTCACATGTAGTAGACTGTCTGACTCACATCTGATTAGACAGTCTTACTCACACATCTGACTTAGATTGTCTTGACTCACATCTGACTTAGACCGTCTGAGTCAGATGCCAAACACAGTATAGTGTGTTCATTTAACGTTTGTGTTTTTTTTCCATGGATTGTATAGATTGTGGAATCAAACAGGCGAGGGAGGGAAGATCATTCACGGGTTACACTGACGCCTGATGTGATAATGCATGTTTTGCGGCTTCATAGAAGGCAAGCATTGGCTTACATAGAAAGAAGACGTAATAGAGATGAACTTGGAAGTGATGATGAGGAAGAAGATGAAGGTGATGGTTATGTCATGGGATTTTCTGATGCTGATGGCTCCTTAGATGATGGAAATTCAACCGAGTGTAATATTGTTTGATGTTATAATATCTTGTTTCTGTATCACGTTTTGGTTTTTGTATGTTGTTTTATGATAAGTTTGTTGTGTATGCATGGTTTGTTGAATAAATGGTGTAAGTAGTGGTGGTGTATCATGTATGTATATAAATGAGGTGAATTTAAAAGTACAATTCTATCTTAGTTTACTTATTTAGTTATTAACAATTTTTATAACAAATTGATTTCATATCTTGGCATACAAGGTTTTCAAACTCTAATCTTATTAAAATTCATTTTAGGGCTAATCAAAGAAATCCATAGTGAATGATGAAATAGGCAAGTTGGAGCTTGATTAACTTATTAATGGGGTTTTTACATTCTAATCTTATTTTTAAATCAAAATTGATGTTAATAGATGCCTGACTATTACACATTTTGTGACAAATGGAACATAAAAGAGCATTCTTCAAAATAAGTATATATTCAATAGAGAAGCTCTGTTCTATTATTCCAATATTGATCGCTCTTTCTCGATGACCATAAGAAAATCTCATATATTTACAAAACATATGACTAATGGTCTCCATCTTTTAAGAACCATACATTAACATATGTTATCTTTATACAAAATATTGATATGAATCACATGGTGTACTCTTGTGGTCTGTATTTGGATACCTCTACTACATGACAGTTCTATTATTTTATGGATTCATATCAGTGATTCATTATTTTTTGGTTTCAACATAACCAAAGCGACTACTTCTCCTTTGAACACAATACATTGTCTTATAAAAATCATATAAAACTCATACGTTATCGGAATGAAGTAATTCAAACTTCTATAAAAACCTAATATAATGATCTACAACTTCCATGTTTTAAGTTTTCAAAAAATTACAACCAAAACCATTAGGGGTCGAAATTAGGTTCTAAACCATTAAAAATTGTGTTTTCTAGAAAAACAAAGTTGTTTTCCCATAAACTAAAGCAGTTTTCTAGTAAACTAAAGTTGTTTTCAAGTGAAAGAATGCTATATATATATATATATATATATATATATATATATATATATATATATATATATATATATATATATATATATATATATATATTGGAATTTGAAGCTGATTTTAGAAAATCGAAGTTGTTTTCAATAAACCAATGTTGTTTCTCATAGACCGAAGCTGTTTTTTCCCCCAAGAAAAATTGAAGTTGTTTTTAGAAAATTGGAGTTGTTAAATTAAAGCCGTTAAAATTGAGTTGTTTTTAAAAAAATACTAAGACCGCAAGGTATGGGCCCGTTGAGGGGCGTTAAGGCCGACGTGGCCAAACTTCAACGGCGCAAAGCCAAGCCTCAACAATGTGGTAACAACGCAAATAGCACCCCCTTGCCCGTTAAGTTATCCCCTGTTGCCACTAAAACGAGTTGTAACGCGCTATTTTAAAAATTGGAACGGTCAAAATGACCGTTTTCGAACGGTTAAAAGATTTTTTTTTACTTATTACTCTTTATATATAAATACACATACATACACGATATTTTCCCCACATCACTCTTTTCTTTCTCCCATTTAATTACAGAAATCAATCCCATTTTCAACCAAAATTAGGGAGCAAAACCCGAACACCCCTCCACTAAACACAAACACAACCGCTCTGATGGGGTTCACGTAACATGAGAGCTACATGAACCTCCTTAACATGCAAAACTCACCACAAATATCATTTCAAGGAAACTATTTTAATCCCACCTCACCCCAAATGTAATTTCCTACATCACCCTACATGCAACAAAACCCAAACCTAAAAAAAACATTTTCAATACTTTTGCTTCAATGCCTCAAACAACCACCTAACCACCACCACACAACTATCATAAGATACGGTTGCTGAAACTTAACCGGGAGTTAATAAGAGAGGGAGAGGGAAATGGAAAAGGAAAGGAAAAGTGATCGCGAAAAGTGAAGAACCTCATCTATGGTGGACACCCGATGAGGAGTACACTTTGATGGTTGCATGGTGCGGTATTTCAAAAAATGAACTTATAGGAAATGATATGAGGAAAATTGGTTTTTGGCAAGCCGTGCTCGGAAGATTTCACATATCAAGTGGACTCCAATCAGTTGTAGGTGCACCAAGTTTAATGGAATCAACAACAAATTTGTTTCGTAAAAGCACAGTGGTACCAACAATTTCGATTTGTTCAAAGCCGCGAGAGAGCAATATCGCGTCGAAATAGGTTATGTTTTTTAGTATGAAAAAATATGAGAGATTGTGAGAAAGATCTAAAATGGATTAAAACTCCAACATCGTTGGAAGTACAATCAAAGAGGTCTCGCAATTCGAGTTCGTTAGACGTTTTCGACGCATGAACTAACATTGACCTCAACGATGACACCAATGAGATCCCAAACGACGTCGAAGAGATCTCCACCACCTATCTAGATAGCTTAACACATAATAAACCACTTTATCCATATTGGAATTGTGATATACCAAAAAGAAGGTATCATGTTGGAGCACACAAATTTATATTCGTCTATCCATTTTAATAATGTTTATGGTTTGAAATTCGTGTTTAAAATTTCAAATTGGGAAACCGTGTTTTTATAAATTGATTAAAACTATTTTATCTAAAAATAGATAGTATATCAACACAACTAAACTGTTAGTTTACACAAATTTACCCAAAAATTGCATCACCAAAACCCTACACACAATTTCGATGTCTTTTTTTATGTTTGGTTCTTACTTCTTAATGTAGAAAACCACTTGTGTTTTGTTTATTTTATTTATTTAACCACTAAACTATTTTTGTAGTGGTCAAACCAGTATACATTAATTTTGAACATCTAAAAAATCAATTTAGCTGGTTATTCGGTTCTCATGTTATTACATAATTCAATAATTCATCAATTTTGCAACCAAACTATTTTATTTATTTATTTTTATAATTTAACCACTGAACTACTATTTGAATAATTATAAAAAAAAATTAGTAGTTTGATGGCTAAATTGATAAAATGGTGAAAAGTACGTTGTACTTTATTATATTTTAACCTTTTTCAAAACCTGCTAAGCAGGAAAAAAATAAGTAATAGTTTAATCATTATAGGAAATACTTAAGTGACTAAATAAATAAAATAAAATGATGAAAAATATATTATTTATGTATTTTGTTTTATCAGACGCAACAGAGATTTGGTGGAAAGGCTAAAGAAACCAAGAAATAATTTAAAAGAATTGCATTTCCCAAGCAAATACTTTGTGAGATTTTAGTGTTATCAGCATATCTTAGTGCACTTATTATTAATATCGAGATAGGTTGAGCTCTATTTACTCACCGAGACTCGAGATGCGGTGTGCAAACTTGGAGTAATAAATATGAACTTAGGAATACGGGGGTTCAAGGGCAACACCCGTGGGTATAAGGTTCCAAAGGACAATGCCCCTGGCAAGGTCTAGGGACAGCGCCCCTAGTGGGGTCCAAGGGGAAGAGCCCTTGGTGGTGGTCCAGAAACTATATTTCCCGCCAAAATATTGTTTATGACATCATGGTGATGTAAGAGTTGGTTATGTACTACAACTACCTTTCTATCCACCATTTTTGGCGCCTATATGGTGTGTAACCACTTTTAACTACCTTCTTCCTTGTATAAAAGGAAGATGAATGTTCTAGAAAATGGTAAACACTTTTGATACCCGGAATTGATTCTCTTATTCTATATGTATCATCAAAACACAAAATAGCAAGGTACTTTATGTGTTTCGAATTTGGAAGCAGTATGAATTCCAAATTGTTATTCTTGGATTATCCCAAATCATATTTTGTGTAACCATAGGCTATAAGGTTGAAATCACAGATTTTGGAAAGTATATATGCAAAACACGATCTTTGAATTATCCAAGAAATTATTGATATTCTTAGACCCAAAAAATCAAAAATCAAAATCTTTGATTTGTAAAGAATATCAATGACAGATTTGTCAGGGACATGAGTTCCAAATTCAAGAAACTGGATAAGTTTGAGGGAAATGATTTTTGTCGTTGGAAAAATAAAATGAATTTCCATCTCACCACTCTGAAAATCGTTCATGTTTAAAGAACTCCTGCACCAGAATCGATGGAAGATGAAACCATAAAGCATACCAGAAGAAGATGCAAGTGGGACAATGATGTTTACATATGTCGTGGGCACATTTTGAATGGTTTGTCTGACTCTGTATTTGATAACTATCAAAATCACGAATATATAAATGATCTGTAGGGTGCAATTGAATGCAAATACATGGCAAATGATGCTACTAGTAAAACGTTCATTCTGAGTAATTGCAATAATTACAAAATGGTGGATTCAAGGCTTGTCATGGAACAATACAAGGAACTCATGAGGATTCTGGGTCAATTTGAGCAACACAAGATACAGATGGATGAATCCATTTCCGTCTCGGGTGTTATTGATAGATTGCCCTATCATGGAAAGACTTCAAACACACACTGAAATACCAAAAGGAAGAGTTGTCTCTGGTATAACTTGACAGTCACTTGAGAATTAAGGAGGGCCTTTGGGATCAAGAAAATGGCAAAGGAAAGGAAAAGGAAGTTCCTGGATCTTTTATGAATATGATGGAAGATGATAAACATAATAAAAATAGCAAAAGAAACGGAAGAAGAAAGATGACCATCATAAAGGTTCAAACACGAAAGCAAAACTTGTATGTTGGAATTGCAACAAACCTAGTCACATGAAACAAGATTGTATTTTGAGGAAGAACAAGAATGGTAAAAGCACATCTAGACATGGATCTCAGGATCAAGGTCCAAAACTACAAGGCTATAATTTTATTTATGGAAATTCTTGTGCTTTAATATATTTTAACGTCCCAAAAATAAGTAAAAATTTTTATTTTTATACCACCAAAAACCATACAATCATTTGTTCAAAACCAACCAATGTATAAAGTGTTTTCAAACATCAGAGTAAATAAATAGATAATGAGGAATAAATCTCCGGGGGATGCAGTGTGATCAAGTCGGGCCCTTCCCTTTCGAACCAGAAGCACCTGGAACATTTTAAACATAAACCGTAACCACAAAGCTTAATGAGTCCCCTAAAATACCACATACCATACATAACATTTGTCCCCGACCATACAACTAACGGGCCCCACCCACATTGCGGGCCCAC